ACAATCTCCACAAAACCCCTTCTGATATACGAAATTATTAAACTAATCAAGGCAATTTATGAGTCAATGATAACAGTGGAATAGATTATATAATAAATGAAGAGTACAAATTGGTAATGTGATGACATGTACTAGTTGTGATAAGAATAATAAAGGCTTGAATCAATGTTACATAATGGGAAATAGGTCAATGATTAGAAAAATATAGACACTGAAATATCATTCATAAAAATTATAGGATTACGTGATAATAAGTGTTCAGATAATTGAACCGTGAAACGTATATTTGAAAAAAAAAATGGTGGGGGGAGTGAAGAAAAATAAACGAAGAGTATGGAAAATAATGTTAAATAAAATCATTTATTAAGGCTAAGGGAGAGATAAAGGTGTTACAAATTTCTTATTAATACAAAGACTTGGGTTGTTGGCTCGAATTTCCATAGCTCCTGCTATACGTAAGAGTCAAGATCGAACCCCATAAGAAAAACCAGTAGGAATACGATAAATAACTTATTTCTGTCTACTACGTGACCGCTGAGTATTATCTTGACAGTACCTTTTCCTAACCACGAAGAGAGGTATTCACTAACTGTTTGCCTCAGTTGTCTGGTAGTGCTCTCAATATAGGTTTCTCCACAGAAGCAGCTGAATTCGTAGATACACATAGAAGTGGCATAACCAGATAACTTATCCTTTGGTTGAGGAATCATCATAGATCGGGTCGAGTACAATAGAGGCTGGCTGCATTAAACGTTCTCTTCACTGCTCTAGTCAGTCTATTACGTAGCACATCACCAGTTACATCTCCATTGAATTGCAGCTTCAGGAAGAGAGGGTTCTTACTAGCCGTTGATGTCGCTATTTTTCTGTTTGTTACATGCCTTGGTTGGTTTAATAATTTCGTATATGCATATACATATTACTGTATGTTAGAGTAAAGCCTGATGAGGATCTAATCGAAAACAATATTGTTCGCTTATATATGTCGTTCCAAATCACAATATGGGCGTTTTTCAAATTTTAAGTATTGACTAATAGTTTTGAATTTTACTCTACTAAAATTCAATTTGATCTACTGGATAATATTACTGAATGCCACATAGAAGTTTGTCTCAAAGCTGATGAAACAAGGACAGGATTTAGATACCGAGTTAAATCAATCTAATTGTTTTTAACGCATTCATGTTAAAAGATTTTGTTGGGATTAGTTTACATTTTATAGGTGTTGCTCGTCAAAAATGACATCAGTTGAGGCATAGGATAGCTCTTTTGTCATATTATGAGACTCATCGGTAATGAGTCCCCATGACTCTATCAGAGACCAAATCCATGACATTCATTCCTCGTAGGAGCACTTTGCCTTCAGATCATTTGAATGGAACTCAATGGTCCACGTTTTCAGCTGGAATGTTTTTTTTCGTTTTGAAAATCCATTCAGCAAAATTTATGGGGTGGCTTGTGAATGAATTAATGAATCTCAATCAATTTTTTTAAATATGCAGAAATTATTTATATATTCAATGATTGTTTTGTTTAGAATGTATTTGAGTAATGTTTTCTTGATAATTGCGATAACTTACATTCAAAGATCGACTATATTAATAATAGTGTAGATCAGTCAATTCTGTAAATTGTAGTATCAAGATTTTGGTTATTTATGTATGCCATGATATATCATTGGTAGAAGTAATTGATGACAAAGTCCAAGGAAGAACCATAAAATATGCTGGCTTTAATTAATAGTAAACAACATTTTGAACTGTTAAGGAGACTAGCTCAAAATGAAATACTGGTCAAATGGACTATCGATGTGATGTACACTAGTCAATAACCGAATTTACATCAGTTAATGATCATCGGTCTACACTTGATTTATCATTATTTTGATCACTGCCTACATTATATGACTGTGATGAAAAATGACCAAATTTTGAAAAATCTAAACAGCTTTAAATCAATAAGTCATACATGGGATATCAGTGAAAAATAGATAGTTGAATCTAAAAAAAAATATATTCAATCGAAGTTAGGGGTGGTGAATATTATTATTATTATATTACAAATCAATTTGAACTTCACTTGAGTACAGAATTCAATCTGTACTTTACAAGTTGAACAGAATATTTTACTATCGCTATTATCATTATTATTATTAATATTATTATTATTATTATCCTGTTAGACCCTAACTTATCTACCAGCACTAAAAGCAGGCGGATTTCAGACTCACTTCAATGAATATATATATATATATATATATATATATATATATATATATATGGAGAGAGAAGGGGAAAGGGAGGGAGGTTAAGAGGGAAGGAGAGAGGGAGATAGTGAAGTAAATGCTTAATTAGGACTATTCGTCTTTTTATGATAGCCCAAATATAGCAGAGAGACAGAGCGAGAATGTCTAGATATATTCACAAATTAGTAAAGACATATGCGTTCTTTGTTTTTGTGTGCAAAATGTCTTTATACTTTTTAGCTTTATTCAATCTTTGTCTGAATAATGTACATTATCTAGATTTTACTTGTATATACATTCGTTTACTGTCTATCATGTCTTCAACCTCTTTAGTGGAAGTATGTATATACATATATTTGCACAAAGTTCTAATAATTTCGTTTAATAAATAAGGCAGATGTGAGAAATACTTGCGTGAATAGAAGTAGATATCTGTCATACAACTCAGCTTGATTTTACTCAGCCTAAACCAATTTGTAGAATGCAGTTTAGACTGAGTTTGCTTAACACAGGTTGCATATATATATATATATATATATATATATATATATATATATATATATATATATATATATATATATATATATATATATATATAGTTTATTCTGGTTAGCGTATTTTAACAATGTTGTTTTCTGCGGAATGTGGCTGTTTAACCAATGCCCGACTCTCCTCTTTTAGCTTAACTTGGGACCGACAGTAGCCCTACAGGCATGGAATACAACTAGACGATTTGGACTTGGAAGATAATCTAGCTCCTCCATCCCATACGCACCAACAAATATCACTGAAGATAGTCAGTGTAGCAGAAGCCTCTGCATCGGTAGACCTCAACATACACAAAGGAAAAAGCAACATCCTCAAATACAACACGGAAAACACCAACCCAACCACATTCTATGGAAAAGCTCTGCAAGATGTGCAATCTCTCACGTACCTCGACAACATCATCCATGAACAAGGAGGATCCAACGCAGACGTGAAGGTGAGGATTGACAAGGTAAGGACAGCACTCCTACAGTTAAAGAACATATGAAATTTAAAACTACCGTCAACCAACATCAAAGTGAGAATCTTCAATGAGAATGTCAAGACAGTTCTACTGTACGTACAGAGATTAAACTTGCAGGACTACCACAACTATAATCAAAACAGTACAAGTATTTATGAACAATTGTCAATGTAAGATACTTTATGTCCGTTGATCTGATGCCATCAACAACAACCTACTGTGGTAGAGAAAAACCAAGTTGGAGCAGAATTGTAAATGAGGAAAAGATGCTGGAAGTGGATGGAACATACTTTTCGGGAATCACCAAACTGCATCACGAGGCAAGCGCAAGATCGAAGAACACAATGCCTGAGATATGTTTTAATTTGGTCGATAAATTCTCATATATTAAATTTATCTTACTTGAATCTGTGAGACGATGTCGACTAAGGATACTTTAAAAATATGTTGTTTTAATCTTCTAGATTATTTGTGAACTGTATGAAAGAACCTTATTTATATGCGAAACTAACTCGTAATGAACTGAAATTTTTCATTCTGATGGCTAATACATTATATCCTTGAAGAGAAAATTGATCACGATATGAAAGTTAAACAGCATCAGTCATGGAGAAGATATGCAACTCAGGCGGATGGTTTGCTTAAAGCTATGTTCCTCGGGCTAAATGGTTATTTTGTGAAGATCGCATTATCGTTCTTGATAGTATTATCAGAGCCTACTTCATTTAGAGGTGAGCTTTTCAATCGTTCTTCAAATGTTAAATCTGTTTGTTCTAATGGCGTTATTTATGATTGGTAATTTTTGTGTTCTAATGTGTTGATTTGTTCTTTCATTTCTGTCGTCTGTTCTTTTCATTTGACTTCTAACCGTGTGAATAATCGAATTTTTCAGTGTGTTGACTGCCTTCCCCAGTTGGTCTAAAGGCTCTAGGTTCAATTTCTGGAGTTATCTATGTAATCAGTTGAATAGTCGAATAGTAGGTTAAAAAAGTTATCATATTCTTATCAGTATTGGAGTTGTGGAGATTGTTAAGTTTTTTTAAATTAAGATCATGAATCAATTGATGTTAGACCACCGTTGGAAACCTGGAAGCACCAGACGGCCGTTTTGTCCTAGTATGGGACTCCTCAGCAGTGCGCATCCACGATCCCGCTCCCCGCGAGATTCGAACCCAGTTTTCATCCTAGTTTTCAACAGCAATTTAATCAATTTCATTCTATGATATTCAAATTCAAATTCAGCAATCAGTTATACAGTCAGAGGTTAAACGAAAAAAAATCAATAAAAATGCAAAATAGAAAGACCCAGATAAACTATTAATCATAATCAGTGCCATTAGAACGAACTGATTGAACACTTGTAGAATAACTGGAAAACTCACCTCAATATTATGTAATCAATGATGATATTGTTAAAAACAACAGAAAAAAAGAGCTCCACAAATAAATAATCTTATTCAAAGAAAATTACATCACTAGAAATAAAATAATCAATTTTCTGTTGATCAACATAATTATATGCTTATTTTATGTCAAGTAATGATTTCTCATAGATGATTTCGTCATACAATATAATTTGAGCAGTATATTGCTCAACTTTCTTTATCGATCGACTAAAAAAAACAAGACAAAAATAATAATTTTCCTAATCTATATGAGCACTCTGAATGTAAAAAAAAATTGTATATTTATATCAAACATGAAATAATTAAAGCACAGAATAGAACAATTACAAAATATCATTGAATCTGTATATTTGATTACATTTATTCAACTAGAATAAATTAGATCTCTCTTTCTTTCTTTCTTTTTCTTCATGAACTTATTGAATGTGAATAATATTCATTGAGAATTACTTACATTATCCATTGTAATTCATTATTACATTAAATTAAAATCAATATTATTATGAAACATATTAAACATTTATTACAATTTCTATGGTTTATTATTATTATAACATTCTATATAACAATAATACATGTGAAATGTCTTATTCCAAAATTATGTGTTCATAATATCACAGCAATTGGTGGAAGTGGTATTTGTTGTCCAATACCTGAAAATTCTAAATATCCATGTGGTGGTCCAGGTCAAGGTACATGTCAAAAAGAATATACACAAATTGAACGTATACCATTTTATTTAATTATGGATGATAGAATGAATTGGCCATCAAGATTTTTTAATCATTTTTGTAAATGTGAAGGTCATTATTTTGGTATATCATGTAATGAATGTTGGTATGGTTGGGAAGGTAAATTTTGTAATAAACGTAAAAAATATATTCGACGTAATATATTATCATTTTCTCCAAAGAAAAGAAAAATGTTTGTTCATGTTGTAACAAAAATGCTTACTACTCCAACTGATTATTTAATATTATTTGAAAAAGATGCTATACATTCTGATCCATTATGGAAACCTAAATTTTTAGATGTAGATGTACAGTATTTATTATCTTTTCTACATCGTTACGCGAGCAGAGCTACATTATTTCATGATGCTAAAGATTGTATACTACGTCAACATTTGGATAATAATCATGAAGTAGTTGGATTTTTAACTTGGCATAGATATTATATGTTATTTTGGGAAAAACTTCTACGTAAAATTGCAATTCAACTATATGGTTGGTCAGATTTCACATTACCTTATTGGGATTGGGTTGATTCTACAAGTTGTGATGTTTGTGTTAATAGTTTATTAGGTGGTTATGGACAGTGGGTTGGAGATACTCGTTTAATAGACCGTAGAAGTCCATTTTACATGTGGCCTGAATACTGTTCTCCTCCAACTACGGGAAGTAACTGTTATAGTTGTCATGCTGGTTGGCCAAACTTTCGAGTATTGACAAGATATTTCGAAAGTTCAGCATTTCCAACAACTGATAACCTTTTGTTCACTCTTTCAAAGGATACGTAAGTTCTTTTTTATCATTGTGGTTTTATAAACATTGTATCACAATCAAAACATGATATTGTAAATGATACAATGGCAAATATATTTCAGTATTTGTAGAATTATAAAATATATTTCCTGTGAAATATTTATTTATATTATTTTAACATTGGTTTAACCAATTCCATGTATAGCTATAAGTGGAGAATAAACTTTGCTCATGAACTTACATTCACGCCTTTAATAAGTTAATTTAGAGTAGATTTATCCCTTTTCATATACGACCTGACTTTTCACGATATATTGATATTTTATACTTAATCAGATCTCCAATTTCAGTATAATCATTCATCTCACTATGGATTTTGTAATATCTTAGCTCTTAGATCTTAAAAAATGGATTTGCTCAGCTGTTATAAATAATTTTAAGCAGTGGATATTTTCGATACTGTTTATGTAAATACCTGGCGAGTAACTCTAAACAAAACTGAGCCTAATTTCCACTATGCATTAATTCTTATTGGTTATGTTGAGGATCTTGGTTTAATGAATCAGATAATGAAATAAAATTACTAACAAATAAACACCAAAAAGGTTCGATTCCATAAAATATGGATAAGAGGAGAGTCGTTGAAACAAGAACTAAAAACGATACTTTGACGAGTTCCAATTACATAAACTTGTAATAATACTGATTGCTAGAAATCATACTTAAATAGATTTAATAAAAGGTGTTTATAAGCTAATGTGTTACTAAGATCTAAACAAATATACCGAGGTTCCCAAGGTACCATAGAATGGTGGGAAAATGTGTATGTTAACGCTCTAAATTACTAATAGAGTATCAGATAAATTCACATCATATGTACTCTTACGGTACACAAAGTTTCCAGAAATGTTACACTTGCTTAGTTCAATTTAATTAATGTTAATTAAGTTCAAAAGTTACTTTATTGCATACATTTTAAAATAACTAGAATCCACTTCTTGTCGAACCTTTGCATTTTATTTATCAAATTCTTATATTTATAATAATTACAAGCATTACCAGAACGAGGGGTTGTGGAGATTATAGTAGTTTTAATAGTTGAGTTCATGAGTCCGGCCGTCCAATGTTTCCAGGTTTTCAATTGTAGCCTAGCTTAAATCGACTCATGAATTCAACTATTAAAATTAATTACAAATATATTTGTTAGCATGATTTATTTAGTAAATTAATTCTAAAAAGTTTTTTCTAAATCTCAGGGGATCTAGTTGTAATTTTGATGTTTAGAAATATGTCTTTTGAGTAATCTGTTATATTTTAATAACTCGGATTTTGACTATAATGAATTAATTAAGTAATTCGAAGGAGAGTTAAGTAATGAGTAATGACTACAAATGTGGAAAAAAAAGTTTACTAGAAAGTGAACAGTTCAAACTTATGTCACTTATATTACACAAAGATCTGGTGGAAGAAGACTTATGAATAATTGTAAGTCAAGCTTTCCTTTAAATACTTTATAGTTCCCTATTTATTTTATAACAGAAAAAATATATTTATCTGTTGATAGGTTTTATTTGCCTCAAATGATGGAGGATATTGGTAAATGTCGTGGTTTTCATCAAGTTCTCGAAGGATTTTGTTCTTTTACCGGTGACAATTCAACTTACTCATTTATGCATAATAAAGTACATAATATAGTGCGTGGTACATTTTGTTGTGCAGCAACTTCACCTAATGATCCTATATTCTTAGTACATCATACACAAATAGATAGAATTTTCCAAGTAGGTTATAAGCATTAAATTATCATATATATGCTGGAAATTTTATTCTTTAACTAATTATTATTAGCTTTTCTTTTATTTATGTACAATCTACTAGTAAACCGTTAATGACTTCAAATGATATATTACAAGTTACAGTAAAGTTTGTTCTTCAAAATAACCAATAAAGATATTCAAACTCAAATTATTAAGTTATTCGGATGAAATTGATCAGCTTGAAATGATATTTTAAGAATATTTTAATCTTCAAAGAATTTTAGTTAATTAAATATGAACTAAATTGTTTAATCATATCTTGTATAGTTTTTCAAAGTATTTATTCTGAACATTTGTACAAGTTGAACACAAAGTGAACTCTGTTGACAACCACCGGAGTAAATCGGCCCAGTTAATTGATGCATAATTTCAATCATAAATGAAAGTTAGCTAATCATGATTTCCCAATTATCTTGTAAAAACGACGAGAAGATATTTTCTACAAAAAGAAAAAAACCGATGATGCCCATGAAGTGTAACTTTACTTCAACACTTAGATGATAAAAACAGATATTGGATTTATTTATATTGAGTCAAATTGAAAATAACACAATAATACAAAGACAATATTAGATCACAGTAGTCCTATATCGTGAATTGATTGAAGATAGACATGTAAACCACTTGATTCTGACTCAGTGCTCCAAATGTTTTCATACTGACAGCGAGCTCAAGGAGTTCGTGAGTCCTCATTACTGAGGGTTAGGTAACTAAGATGTGATACAATTGTTCTATGATCTTTGATTTTTAATGATTCTCCATGCATTGTCAGTCACCGTTAAAAATAATCCGTATATTTTATATTCATCAATTTACTTTAAAATGATTAAGCTTCTTTAGTAGTCTAAACTCAAAACACTTTATTATATGCAAAATGATTTCATATTCAGATATATGAAATTATGTAAGACAAATTCCATTTCCAATAAGTCACTGGACTTTGTAATACAATGCTTTATAATTTAGTTTGCTGTTTTCCTGTACTTATTGTTATTATTGTTATTTTGTATAATAGTTATGGTTTATGTATAATCGTCCACGTCCAACGGAGTATCCAAATCATGGAGTTGCACTTGGAAATTGTCGTGAATGTAATATGGTTGGTTTCATTCCTACAATTAAACACATATTAATGTTTGTAAATACAGAACTGATAGGTTATACCTATGATAATTTTAATTTCGGTAGACGTGGCTTTAGTGGAGAAAAATACTTGAAATGTGGTCCTAAATATCGTGTCTAATTTATTATTTACTTCAGATCATAAAAATTTAAAGCATAAAAACTGAAATTGAATACTTTTGATCAACTTTAAATGAACAAATACTATTCCAAAAATTCCTGCTGTGGTTTTCTACCAAATCAATCAGATTAGTACTGAAAGAAATTGAAAATAAAGCGTAAATAATTGTTTGGTTTTGCTCAGTTTGTAAAGTTTTCATTTTGATAACACTTATGGAAACAACATTGGAGATTTTAAATATATATACAATTTTCCCGGAGTTCTGACCATTGGAGATTAATCATGTTGGGAGTGAAACAAGCAACATCTATGGTAGGGGATGATGATCACACAGTTTCGTTGATTGATTGATGTTAGAAATGTAAATCATTCAATTCAAACTCAGTAATATATAGATGAAATGTTAACCGAGAGGCCTGAAGTTTCTCGGTTCTATTGGTAGTAAGTTCGTAGATGTACACTACGGGAAAGCCACATACTAGGCCAAAATAGCTGTTCAGTTCCTTCTAGCTTTCCCTGACTATTTAACGAAAGTCAGTTCATGTAATAAAACTAGAAAACTGAAGATTATTATACACCAGAAAATGATCGTCTACTTCATTTTCAAATTGATTCACTCGGAAAAAATGGGAAGTTAAGAAAAAATTCACTGTCACCTAAGATATTAAAAACATATTGTATTCTATTCGCAAATAGAATCCTGATTTCAGTGCATCATGTAAAAACGTTGTAAACAGTTCGCCTTTTTAGATGCTCCATTAAATCTTATTTAGGATAATTCGACATAATTTAAATATCGTCATAGTGATAAAAAAAGAACAACGGTAGTTCCCTTCTGTTTTAATGCATGACTTCAATCTCAGAAAATTCGAAAATTAAAGTGATCAAGGGGTATAGTGATTTAATATTTCAATGAATGTAATAATATACGAAATAAATGGTTATCATCGTCATCTAAACGATTATTTAGTGCACAATCAAATAACTGATCATGTTGAATGATGAAGGGACACTGATGAAACTTACCAAAAGTATATAAAGACTAAGAATATCAAGAACATTTGGTCAACTCAAATTATATTTACATATATTACTAACCTTAACTATAAACAAATGAATAAAAGTTAGACAACTAAATTATATCCAGTCGCAAATAAATTACCCCTATGAACTTTCTTTTCTTTAACAGTCCATTTACGTAAATTATTCAATTAGTTGAGAATTTCTAGTGTCAAACAATTTTTATGTTCCATTACAAACAAGGATTTATTAGAAAGTGATTCATTTTCATGAATTGAGAATACTTGACTTCAGGATTTACGGTATCTAAAATTCACGTTCATATTGAGTAAAGCATAAAACTACAAAATAGTCAAGTTGAATTAGTTTATAAGATAACAGAGGAGATTTCTAAATCAAGTAAGTGCATTTGTTTGTGTTGTTCTATCTGAGATAGATAGTTTAGTTTTGAAACTTTCACATTCATTCTGAACAACATCATCAGAACCTACTTCATGTTGAAATAGGTAGTTTTAAGTTATGGCTAGTAAATAAATTTAAATTTTTTTAGTGGGAACTTCAGTAGACAGAGCTTTTCATTATTTCTGGACTACGAAATTAGAATTAGTACTATTTTGATTAGAGACAATTAAAAATAAGCTTAAGCTGTAGGATTCTTGATAGTCATCTTCATACACTACAACTCAATAAGAAATAAAACCGCTTTTCATTTTGATCTATTGAAGAAAGGAAAATACTTCTCACCAATAGCAAAAGTGCTTGATTAAAACTCTCCAGATAAGTCTATTCGAATACTTCTAGATTCTGTTTTATAAAATATCACTTATGTACCACACAACTGAATCTAATTTCAAAGATCATTGTTTTAGCGTTTGCACTGGAAAAAAAATACCATAGTCTTTATTCTAAAAACCAAATGGCCAGTTCATTTTTATAGTATACTGACTTGTTCTTTTTTCTGTCAAGATGACCTAAGTAATAAAAAACTGATTGAAAGTTCAGTGAAATGTAATTACTTATTTATTGATTTTTTAAAAAGGTTAATCGATAAGACATTTAGAACGCTAATATATTGTATATTCAAAGATCTGTAAACAATCTGTGATTGATTTTACTCATTTTGAAACTAAACAGAAACGTCCTTTCCAGATGTGATTTCGCACGCGTTAATGCTTACTTTGCTAAGACTTTTGATATGACCATTTGGAACTTTGACCGAAATTTCAGTCTTTGAAAGTATCACATATTTCGTCTGAAGTATATTTAAGTTAACAGACAGTAAAAGACGGCGGAAATGTTTTCGATATGTTATTAAACCACTAAAAACAGATGACTCACTTAACAGTAGCCATTTATAACCTAAAAGCAATTATATTTAACACATTGAAACCATGAGTCAGTTGAAGCTAGACCACCATTGGAACCTGGAAGCACTGGACGGCCGTCTCGTCCTAGTATGGGACTCCTCAGCAGTGCGCATCCACGATCCCGCACCACGCGGGGCTCGAACCCAGGACCTACTGGCTTCGCGCGCGAGCACTTAACCATTAGACCACTGAGCCGGCATCCAACGGTGTTAATGTCTAACTTCAACCAATCCACGAAGTTGCGCCACCGTACACCATTGTCTTCAGTGAGTTCCTATCTCACAACAGACCTGGTTGAACTCCACTGGTAACGGCTTCTCACTAGAACTTCGGGAGTTTTCCTGAAGTCAGTCACTAGTGAGCAGTTGATTATTATCAGAATGGGTTTTGTGGAGATTTTACAAATTTCACAGATTGAAATCATGAGTCAGTTGATTATTATCAGAATGGGTCTTGTGGAGATTTTACAAATTTCACAGATTGAAATCATGAGTCAGTTGAAGCTAGACCACCATTGGAAACCTGAAAGCACTGGACGGCCGTTTCGTCCTAGTATGGGACTCCTCAGCAGTGCGCATCCACGATCCCGCACCACGCGGGGCTCGAACCCAGGACCTACTGGCTTCGCGCGCGAGCACTTAACCATTAGACCACTGAGCCGGCATCCAACGGTGTTAATGTCTAACTTCAACCAATCCAATCTAGCTTCAACTGACTCATGATTTCAATCTGTGAAATTTGTAAAATCTCCACAAAACCCATTCTGATAATTATATTTAACACAGAAACATTATCCTGATACCCCAAAAAACATGATATACTATTCAGACTAAGGATAAGTTCCAGTCATAGGGGACTACAGTATCTCCTATTGGGAATACCGAATAATAGGCGTTTGTGTAACTCACTCTAACATGTTAGTTTCCTGAAATTTCATGAATCTATTCCATGGTTTATCTTTCATAAACTGATTCTATTTATTTGATTTCAATAATAAATATAAACCATTTTACTTAGATATGATTTATAATTTCAAAACCTATTTGATAAATAAATAGAAAGTTATTTTCATGTCAAGCATTACTATCTTTCAAAAACAGAAAATAGATTCGTATTATGTATATTACTAAAGTTGGAGTATATATTTCTATGATGTCAAAGTTACAACATCAAATGAGATCTAATCTTTCACTTTACTAATGATCTATCAGTAAATATAAACATATTTTCTCAGGTTCATAATACATTCCACAGTTGTGGACATTCTCTACACACGAAACATAATTTCGTGTTCTGAACTGTAAAATATATGCTAAACAATTACTTAGATCACTTAGAGTGGAAAGTAAATACTCATTTATAAGCGTTCATAGTGAATTACTCTGTTGAAATTTTAATTGTAGTACTGACTTTAATCAGAGGCTCAAACCTTACGAGTGTAATATAATACGACCGAGATCACTGATTAGCATAAAACCAAAAACATCCTTTCTGGTAATTAGTATAGATTAGGGATATAATCAACAAATTACACCTTACCGATCCGCCTCATTTAACATTGAAAAAATAAAGAGGTACTTGGTAAATTATAGAGTTAAATTAGGTCTTTGAAAGTACTTTGATCACAAAAAGCATCAGTCATTCTCATAATGATGATTTCATTTCATTAAAAATTGATTTAAAACTAACCTGACGGAATGGAAAATAGTTTCTCCTCAGCAACTCGAAGTTTTATTTGGCTTAATCTGAGAGAACAATACACAATGTTAGGAACTAAAGGATCTGGGATTTTCGTATCACTTTTAAGTTGAAGGATTAAGTTATGAAACTCCTTCAAACGTTTACATTAATATAAAGTTTTTACGACTGATATATCAAATAAATTTTAAAAATTGCAACAAAGTTACTGGCGTAAGTTCTCTCTTTAAACCTTAATTCAAATTCACTGAACTTAGTTGTTCAGTTTATCTATAGCCTTTATAAAAATAATGGATAGTATTTTTCACATTAGCGTGATTCACATTCTGTTTTCAAAGTCCAGTTGAATGATGTATTTGAAACAAACTTAATCTATTCTTATTGGGGTTTCGCCTATCTAGTATGCTTTTTTCAAATGGTAAAGATGTATGTGAGTCATTCTCATATATGGTAATTTTGCTCTATTTGTTTTGATAATACTTTTAAAGCTGAATGCATTTGAAAAACATATATGTTTTAGGATTTCGGGATAAAAAGTGTTACTTATAGCATGAAGATGTTCACTATCATTTATCTACTGACTAAACCAACATCTATAAATAAATTTCATCCAAAGTGTAGGTAAATAATTTTTCTCGTCAGTGTTTATTTGTAATATACAAGAAATCAAAAAGTGATTATTATTATTGGACGGGACATGAGTTGTCATAATTTATTAGGTCTAGTTGCCCTTTTATTTTTATATATAAATGTTCTTAACAAGTATACATGTGATCAGATTGTTCGAAATGTATTGCGCTAATACATCACATAGTTCTGATAATCTTCGTCTTGTTACATTATCGAAATTAAAATACCAATGACTACATATTGGTTTTAAATAAAATTATTTATACATCAACTGATTAGTTACCGAAACTTTTAAGCGTATTTATTGAGACTTAGAGTGTTTGTTCCGTTCCCTCAATTCAATGCTTTTCAAACTGAAGTCAGTAAGTTTGATGTTAATCAATATTAGTACTCTGTATTTCCAATCCTTTAATAATAAAATAATCGTTCTCTATTGAAATTATCATAATGAAGTCAATGTAGAATTGAGAAATTACGGGTTCGTTTAAACAGTTTCATCCAGGAACACCTCTGCAAGAATAAAAGAATTGTTTAATCAGACATTTGAAAACTTAGAAGAGAGAGAGAGTTTTTTAATACGGACTGACATCAAGTTGATGATTAATGACTATT